TGATGCTGCCATGGCACTCAACCGAGAACGATTAAGTGAGACTGTCTCTAAAAAAAAAATAGAAAAAAAAAATATATATGTATTTAGGTTAGACTGTCTTAACAATAATAGTTTTAACAATTCTAGTTAACAATATTAGTTTTGCTGAGGCCATCAATACTTTTGTTAGTAATTAAATCACAGGCCATTTGTTATTTAACCTACTTCTCCCTCTTCTCTCTCTTTTTCTTTGAGACAGTCTCATTATGTCACCCTAGGTAGAGGTTCGTAGTGTCACAGCTCACAGCAACCTCAAACCCTTGGGCTGAAGCAATTCTCTTGCCTCAGCCTCCCAAGTAGCTGGGACTACAGGTGTCCACTACAATGCCCGCATGTTTTTTGTTGCAATTGTCATTGTTGTTTAGCTGGCCCAGGCTGGGTTTGAACCTGCCAGCCTCAGTGCATGTGGCTGATGTCATAACCACTGTGCTACAGGTACCAACCCTCCCCCCCCCCTTTTTTTAAGACAGTATCTTGCTCTATCACCAGGCTGGAGTACACTGGCGTGATTATAGCTTACTGCAGCCTCAAACTCCTGGGCTCAAGCCATCATCCTGTCTCAGCCTAGAAAATATCTGAGGCTACGGGCATGTGACACCATGCTTGGCTAATTTTATCATCATTATTATTATTATTTGCAGTTTTTAGCTGGGGGCTGGGTTTGAACCTGCCACCTCCCGCATCTGGGGCCAGCACCCTACTCCTTTGAGCCACAGGCGCTACCCTAATTTTATTTTTTGTAGAGGCATTGTCTGGTCTTGCTATGTTGCCCAAGCTGGTTTTGAACCCTTGGCCTCAACCTCCCACAGTACTGAAATTACAGGAGTGAGCCATTATGTCTGGCCTTTATCTGCTTCTCTCTCTAAGTCAAAATCATATAAAAAAGGTCATCATTTTATTTTCCATTCTTTTTTTTTTTTTTTTACAAAAGAAGGAATAGAATACTATATCCAGCTCATCCAAAGGTAGTATCAAGTTACTAAAAGGCAACTTAAAAATAAGCAAGAGAAGTATAACATATATTTATGTTTTACATATTTTCTTACCTTTCAAGTAAGGGACCATTTATATGAGTTTTAATTTTTACATTGGTTTTTGAGTTTCAATTCTGGGTAAGCAAGAATGAAAAACAAAAACTGAGTTCATATAACTTATTTCACCATTGATACATGTTTGAAGAATTTCCAAGAAAAGATACAAATGTGTAATGAGATGTTCCTAATGAAAATCTTCCCAAAATAATAAAATTGATAATGCTGTTTTATATTAGAAAAGCTTTAAGCTCTGCTTGAAGTCTCATCTGAAAATCAGAAGCAAACTGCTTTTTAAATGGAATAATCTGTACTAGATTTATGATTTTGTGCACGTGAAAAGTTACTCTTAAAAACAAAATGAGATAGAGCAAATTTTGCCCCATGTGATAGCTACATCATCATAGAACTAACTAAGGCAACAGATTGGCAAGGCTCAGTGTCCTCAAGCAGACTGACCTTTGACGAACTCTGAGGCACAACAGAGTGTGCTCTGTCTGGATCTGAAGGATAGTGACCACTGGTCTTACTGTACTAGTCATTTATTATGCTTTGCTCTCTATCTCTTTGATATTCTTGAACTAGGTATTTTTTTTCCCTAACTACTCAGTGCTTGGCCTTATTCATTCATTTTAGAAATATTTACTGAGTACTCCTTCAATACCATAAGATACCAAAATGAATGAGCCATAAACCTCAACATTAACAAGCTCACAGTCTGTGCTTTCTATTGACGGTAAAAGATGTTCTGATCAAAAAAAATATCCCTCTTTGTTTTGTCTTTGTTATGGCTGAGAATCTCTACCACATCAAACTAGGTTGTTTTTTTTTTCACCCTGGGAATTAACATGTCTCACAAGTATCACCAACACAGAATTATATTAACAAGTTTACTCAACAAGATGAACCATATTTGTCATTTATTCAGTGGCTGTTATGTGAAGCTGGTAAACCAATTCTCTTGGAGGGTCTATCACCTCATTCAGAATGGCTTAAGTTTCAGGTTTCCTTCTATCTGGGCAAAACTTCCTATAACATACCACTTCTGGTTCTGGGCCAGTCCAGCACTTTTCAACTTAATGCTTGGCTCTAGCAATAATTTCCTATCTGATCTTTCTTCTCTGTCCAATCTGTCACATATAGTATCTATGGATTAGCACCCTGACTTCATCCTGCCATCATTCAGAAAATTGCAGAGATTGCCCATTTGCTGCAAACTCTTGCGTTCATACAGAAACTGTCCCCATACTATCCCTCCCCTTACTTATCCAACCCCGTCTATTATTACTCCAAACTAACCGTACTTCAACATTTTGAGTATTTGTTCCTGCAGTTCTGTTGGAAAGCCTTTCCAACTTCATCTTCCCATTTCAAGTTCTGTTTAAATTTAGCTCCTTTGGCTGGGTGCAGTGGCTCACACCTATAATCCTAGCATTTTGGGAGGTCTTGGTGGTAGGATTCTTTAAAATCAGGAGTTTGAGACCAGCCTGAGGAAGAAACCCCGTCTCTACTAAAAATGGGAAAACTAGTCCACATGGTGGCACATGCCTGTAGTCCCAGCTACCGGGGAGGCTGAGATAAGAGATCTCTTAAGCCCAAGACTTTGAGGTTGCTATGAGCTATGATGATGCCATGGCATTTTACCGAAGGTGACAAAGTGAGATTCTGTCTCAAAAAAATTTTTTTTGTTTTTATATTGTTATCTGATATGCATGGGTATGTGAGTATATACACACACAAGTGAAATCAAAATTGCACAAAACAATACACATGAGTACTTACCCTGTCGATGTGTTCTGATATTTTCTATTCTAGTTTTCAAATTATCAATCATGAAAAACTGATTTCACCACTAAAACATAATTACAGTATAAAAATACTCTCCAGCCTCATGCTCCTTGTATTAATATGAGGTGTACAATCTTGCTCTTAAAAATATTCTTAAAACCAAACTCCTGCTTGGACTGCTCATTCTGTTCCTGACAGTTGGTGCTTCAATTTGATCTTTCCATAAACTATCTTCCAACCATTCCTTGTCACATTCCAACTGTGAATCAACTCCTCCCCACGACTTTTTTCTTTTCCAATTTGGGCCACAGTTAAATAATGACGCACAAAGTCAAATGATTTGCAGAAGAATAAAAGTAGGGATGGTCACATTTTTGTTTCTCCACATAGTTTTAAGAGCATGAGCCCTAATGCCTGACATACCCAATCTGAATCTTAGCTTTGCCAAATTACTTAACCCAAACCTTTATTCTGATTTCAGAGGCTTGATGGGGGTTAAATTAGAGCATGTTAAGAGCTTGAAACAGAGCCTGGAGGCTACATGAACAGACACAACCATCCCTGAATGGACATACTGAATGGACTTATGGCTCCATGAATGGTTGAATGGACATAGGGCTCCATCAATTAACATTTTATCATTAGAACAAAAAAGTAAATGTATCTCAAACTTCCTTTTTCGGTCACAATAATAAAAATAACATTACTTTTTCTCTTTAAATATTTAGCTATTTTTTGAAGCTGGATGATTTAAAATGTATAACATTGCTGGTTTTATAGGTCATAAATATCCTTTAAAAGGGGGTCTATTTGTGGTGCTGGATAATCACTATATATTAAGGAATGTCTCCTGAAATGAAAAGACTGAGTATACACACGCAATGACTCGCCTAGTCAGTCATGCTAATCTCATTTGGATCTGCTTTCCGATTAATTTTTTTTTAATTGTTGGGGATTCATTGAGGGTACAGAGAACCAGGTTATACTGATTATTTTTTTTTAATCACAAACATCTACCTGTCGGTGAAGTGTGCTTTGAGTAAAAATACTAAGGCTCAACTCTCTATGTGTGTGTGTGTGTGTATGTGTAAGACAAGATGTCCTGTAGACTGGGCTGCTTTTAAACAAAGCAAGAGTTCTGTTTGTTTTTTTTCACTGAGAGACCTGGAACTCCTCATCTTAAGCAACTCTCCTGCCTCACCCGCCGGAGGAGCTGGGACTACAGGTGGGAGTCACAACGCCAAACTGATATAAACAAATTTTTTTTTTTTGGTAAAGACGAGCTCTCGCTGTTGCTCAGGCTGGTCTCCCAACTTCTGGCCTACAGCATCCCCAAAGCTAACAGGCCTGAGCCAAGCTGGGCCCTAGGTTTTTTCATATTCCTTCTTCCTCGTCATTCACACACTTACCTTACGTAGGTCAAGCTACTTCTAGGGTGTTTTTGATTGCGAGACTTTGGCACTTAACAGTAAACAACCACTTTCCGTAAAACCTATTTCCCGCTCATCCATCCAATTAGCATAGCAAGACAGAACATCGCGCCCATTCTCCATGAAACACTGGCCCAGCAGGCTGAGGGGAGTTGCAACCCTTTCAAAATCACCCGAGGGGAGTGATCGAGATTCCCCTAGCCCCACATCAGCCTTCTGCGAAAGAAAAGGGCTGAGATATGTGTTGAGACAACAGCTGACAACAGCTTTGACAATTTAATTGACGCAGACTGGGACCTCCGAGGATTAGCCCGCAGTCACACACACTCCAGACTGCGCGCGTGCGGGGGGGCGCGCGTGCTGATGAAGGCAGAGAGGCAGAACCCGACCTGCAACAGGAGGCAGAGGCCGAGGAGTCAGCCTCGAGCTGCGGTCTCCGGGGCCCGGCCGCAGCTTAACTCCTCCCGGAGAAGGGGGAGGGGGCCACGGAGGACGCGACCCGCGCGGGGGAAGCCGGCGCCTCTCCATGCCCGCCTCCGCCGCGGCCCGGCGCGCCGACCCCGGCTCCACCCGGCTGCCCGGGGCGCCGGGACCCCTCGCTCCACCGCCGGCTGTCGGCACGTCCGGGGGCGGGCCGGGCGCCGGGGGCGGGCCCGGGGGCCGGGCAGGGCCGGGGTGGGGTTGCGGGGCTGCTTCGGGTGACAACGGTCAATAATGAAGGTGGCTGCGGCGCGGCGGCAGGCTCAGCTGCGCCGGGCGGGGGCGGCGCCGGGGCCGCGCCTGTAGATCTCGGGGCCGGCGCGGCGGGATGGGGACACCGCGCGGGGAGTGAGGCGGCGGCGGCGGCGGCTGAGGCGGAACTTCAGCCCGAGGGGCTCGCCCGCTCCCCTCTCTGGTTTGTCGGCCTCCACCTGCAGCCCCTCGGCACCCGCGCCCCGCGGGACCCGGACAGCGACGGCGGGGGCATGTGGCGCTGGATCCGGCAGCAGCTGGTAGGTGCCCCCGCCCCTCCATCCCGGGCGGTCGCCCCCGCGCGGCCTCTCGGCCCCGAGTGGCGAGGAAGGGACGGCGGCGCAGGCCGGGGCGCGACTGCCGGGCTAGGCCGCGGCGGGGCCGGGCGCTGGGCCCGGAGTCCGCAGCGGCAGAAGCTCGCACGGCCCCAGCGCCGGCCTCGCCCCCGAGTCTGGGCCGCCGGGGCCGGCGCGGGGCGGCGGGAGGCGGCCGCTTCCTGCCGGCGCTCCGCGGCCACTTCCTCCCCCTCGCTGCTCCGGGCGGCTGCGGCCGAGACCGGAGGTCCCGGGTCGGGTGGCTGTGCCACTGAGGCTCGGGCAGAGGCGGTGAACGAGACGAAAGAGGCGTGTGTTTCCTGCCGCTGACGGTTTGGGGCGCGTTTGGTTGAAGCGGAGAAATTGTCCGCAGCGCCCAGTCTGAGAAGCGTGTCACGATTCAGCGCTGGGTTCGTGAGCAAGGAAGCGGATCCTTATCTAGTCTAATCCCCCTCTGCCTGAGGAGTTGTAATCCGAGGCTTGTACGAGAGGAAGAAAGAATATTCCAGCCCCCCGTCTAGTTTCCCAGCTGAGGAGTGTGATAGTTGTGAGGGACTAGTTTTCCTGCCTTCCTTGCCCTCGTTCAACCCCAAGTGAAACTTTTGGAATGTGACCCATACTTCTTCCTGGTTCCCCTCAAGGCAGCTCGAACGGGTCGGATTTGGAACCAGGGGTTAATTTCCCAGTACTACTGAAACATCTGGAGGGGGAAAATAAATTTTAGAAAAGGCCGATCTAAGTCCTATGAAAAGCTCCACCTTTCCCAGAATTAATTCACAGAGAAAAAAATACTTCCTGCCTCCTGGCAACTACTGCCCAGAAAAATGCAGGATTAACTGCAGAACTGTGACAATTAGGACGGAAATTGCTTTGGCTGAAGAGTCCTAACCGTCTCTGTAGGATGAGGTTGGTTATTGTTTGATTTTTCCATCAGATTAATTAAATGCTTCTACAATTCAGTGTTTTAGTTTAATAATTATAAAGTAAGTGATGTAAGTTAGTGAAGTAGAAATTCTCCTTTTGTGGGACTAAAACATTGATTGATGCCTTTTTCCCCCTTCTGGAAAAACACTTTAATATTAAGACTAAAAAGTGTAGTGTTTCAGAGCTAGGTTTCTGTTACTTCATTTTGCAGTGGGCATCATTCTTAAAAAGATATCTTATAAATAAAACTAGAACTGCCTACCATTCCCTCCTACAAACGCTGGCTATTTTTAGCTCTCTTTAGCTAATTGTAAATTCACATATCCCAAATACATGCTTTGTTAGGAAACCAAGCTAATGATGTCATTATAATTTCATATTGTAATATTTTGGCTTTGTTGCAGTAATCCTTAACACAGCAGTTTGACTCAGAAAATTAATGATTACAGATATGATCTCATACTTTTGATTTGCCAAATCTTCCATGTGTATAGAGGGCTTATTTACCTGGTGGTGTTTCTGTGTAGTAGTAAGATCATTCTAAAGTGGTTTCTTAAAGCTTTTCCTAATAGATTAAGACACCATTTCTCAGTGTTAGGTATTTTTGTTAGCCTGAATAAAATCCTGGTTGTATAACCATTCTCATCTTTAAGACAGAAAATCTGGTAATGTTTTTAAAAATGGCTTCAAGGAAACACAACTAAAAGAAAGAGCCGGAAATTGTGCAGTTAATTTATAAGACAGCTGCCTTACTGGGATGGTTAACAAGTTGAACAAGTTACTGTGCATAAAAAATGCAATCTCAGACATATAGTTGCTTACTTCACTAGTTATAAGTTATCAGATCTTCTAAGTATGTAATCAGACTTGTACCAAGGTAGGAGTCTGTATTTCTGATTAAGTTTGTATGGCCACTTAAACATTAAGGATGGCGGATACACATCTATCCCAGTCATAAACAGCATCAGGAATTATTCAGCTCAAATAAAGTCCAGTTTAGATTATACTAACATTTGTTCAATGAATTGAGTCACCATGTCATTTAAAATAAATGAGTTTATTTTAAAATTCAGATAAATGAGACAAATTTGGGGAAATTGATAAGGAAATTGCCAGGACAAGTAGCTGGGAGTTATATGCATACTTTATTCATTATTTAAATCCTGATTTTCAGCTACTTCTGTTGTCTCACCAAAAAAGAGTTTGTCATTTTATTATAGAAACAACTACTATGCTCTGGTAATTTTTTCCTAAATCAAAAAATGTTTGACTCTGCATCTGGACAAAATATTTTCACGATTTGGCAAAAAGAAAGATCAGAAAGTTGACAGAAATTTGATCTTTTCTATTGGGAAATAGAGGACAAAAGAAAAGACTGGAATATCCTTTTATTTTTCTTTTCTTTTTTTCTTTCTCTTATGGCTCACATGTTAAAATTATTTTATGCTAAGAAATTGTGTTTCTTTCTGGTATAGTTATTTATAATATATTCATTTTCAGCATCATAATTTATGTATTAACTCATACATACAAATGATGACAGCACCTTATTATAATACTGGAAATGCCATTAGCTACTCACTGTATTCTAATATTTAGACCTGTATGGTAGCCATTAACCACATGAGACTATTAAAATTAGAATTTATGTAGTTGTTGGTACCATATTGGACAGTTCAAAGTAGAACATTTTCATTATCACAGAAAATTCTGGAGAATAGCACTGATTTAGACTTTCAGTTGAGTTTTTGTTGATACATACTGTAATTAACAGAAAAATTGTTTTAGAGACAGACTTTCTGTGTTGCCCAGGCTAATCTCCAACCCCTGGCCTCAAGTGATCCTCCAGCCCAAGTACCTCGGATTATAGATGTGAGCCACTGTGCTCTGCTCCTGTCATATAATATTTAGAAATTTTAAAGCACTTACTGTGTGCTGTTAAAATTTAGAATTTTAAAGCACTTACTGTGTGCTGTTATTAAGATAAGCTAAATACTGGGGATACAAATGGAGGTTAACATTACACTTACTTGACAGAGTAGACACTGGGTACATGTTTGCTGAATAAATGATGAAAAGATGAGGGAACAAAATGAATCTATAGTATTATTTCTATATTTAGAGATAAAGTGACAAAATTCAAGATTGACTAGCCCAGGGAAAAAAGCTAGAATATGACTGTAACTGTATAGAAACAATGTCATGCTAAGGTAACTATTTCTTTAGTTGTTCCATAAAACATAGTCCCTCCAGGTTTTATTGGTGGTGGTGGAAGGATGTTACTAAGATTGTTTTCTGAGTGACTGAGAAAAAATGGAAAGGTGTTAACCTGAGCTCCCCCAGCTTTCTGTTCTCTCTCCCACTCATACTTAACAAACTTGCTAATATCTGTACTTAATAATTTTCTTTCCACTTGTCACAAGGAAGGTGCAACCCTCCTCTTTTCCAGGTTAACCAGCCCACTTCTGATCCTCTTCTTTCCTGTTCTCCACACTCCCCATCAATTATCATATATTTTGTTCTCCTTCTCTTTTTCTTTAACCTGTGAACTTGTTTAAAAACTAGCCAGGTCTGGCTTGGCATCTGTAGGTCAGTGGCTAGGGCGCCAGCCTCATACACTGGAGCTGGCAGGTTAGAATTCAGCCAGGGCCTGCCAAACAACAGTGACAACTACAACCAAAAAATAGCTGGGTGGTGTTGTGGGTGCCTGTAGTCCCAGCTTCTTGGGAGGCTGAGGCAAGTGAATTGCTTAAGCCCAAGAGTTGGAGGTTGCTGTGAGCTGTGATGTCACAGCACTCTACCGAGGGCGACAGAATTAGACTGTCTCAAAAAAACCCCAAAAAACTCCCGATGTGTAATAACTAGCCAGGTCTGGTGTCAGGTCTCAGCTACTTGGGAGACTAAGGCACTATACCTAAGAGTTTGAGGCTGCTGTAAGCTATGATGATGCCACCATATTCTACCCAGGGTGACATAGTGAGACTCTGTCTCCAAAAAAAATAAAATAAACAGTATGTAAAAAAGTAAATCACTTCAGTGTTTCCTTGGTTACATGATGTGATATAATATTTTGGATATAAGGTAAAATATATTATTAAAATTTTGTGTGTTTCTTTTACTTTAAAAAAAAAAGGTGGTTACACACGTACTCAGTACTGAATTGGAACTAGATGATCAATACTTATATGCACATATGGATGTAAAACTCAGGAGGATCAGGTAGAAGGGAAGAGGGGATTGGCTTAATTCACACTTAATGGGTACAGTGCACACATTCTGGGTGAAGAGCACACTTATAACTTTGTACAAAAGCAAATTATGCAAACAAAATGTGTCTACTATAATAGTCTGAAATTTAAAAAAATCTTGGGGAGAAATTTTTATAAATGTGAATTTAACAACAATGACGGCTGCAACCAAAAAAATAGCCAGGCGTTGTGGTGGGCGCCTGTGGTCCCAGCTACTTGGGAGGCTGAGGCAGGAGACTCGCTTGAGCCCAGGAGTTGGAGGTTGCTGTGAGCTGGGATGCCATGGCACTCTACCCAGGGGGATAGCTTGAGGCTCTGTCTCAAAAAAAAAAAATAAAAATAAAAATAAAATGAACTCCTCATGCTATATAGCATTATATCTGTCTGGATAGCTTGTACAACTCAATGAGGATCAAGTAGGCAGAGGGGAATAGGGGATCGGCTTAATTCTAGACTAGACTAGACAGTAAATATGTTGGGGCAAAGACTTTATCTTATTTATCTTTATATTACTTGCTCTTTTTTTGTGTGTGTGGTTTTGGCCAGGGATGGGTTTGAACCTGCCACCCCCCAGCATATGGGGCTGGTGCCCCACTCCTCTGAGCCACAGGCACCACCCCATATATTCCTTGCTCTTAAGATAGCAGCTGGCCCAATGTAGGTACTTACTCACCAAATGTTGGTTGAACACATGAATGAGTAGTGAGAATTAAATTTGATCCAGCATCAGTTTGGAAGTACCTGAATTTGCCTCTCTCCCAAGGAATGAATGGA